AGAGTCAGTTCGACTCTGTGGGTGTGGCCTCCTTTGTGGGAGTGGCTTTAATTTTTGAAACCCACCACTGGATAGAACCAATAATGTTGCTCAGAAGATTAGGACCAAGTCTCCCCTAATACATTATATTATTATTCTGGCTGGATTGACTTGCTTTTCCTCTTGAAATATGAACTGTTGAAAATTTACAATCTCAGTTTTTGAGGTATTGGCAGAGAATTTGATACATGCATTTAGTTTGCCTTGCAGTTACTTAGGACAAAGCATCTTGAAAATCTTTTATGAGGATTTTATTGGATCCCAGTTGAACACAATTCTTTTGGGAACCCTTCTTGAAATGCCACTAAGACTTCAGACCTTTGCATACTTGCTTGCAAATACAGAAGAACAGAGTTGAAAGAGACCTTGGAGGTCTTCTAGTCCACCCCCCCTGTTCAAGCAGGAAATCCTATACCATTTCAAATAAATGATTGTCCAATCTCTTCTTAAAAACCTCCAATGTTGGAGCACTCGCAACTAAGCCTAGTGTAAATGTGTAGGTTTAATCTAAAGTATATAACTCTGCAGGATGCTATGTAAATATGACCCTGAGATCAAAATAGCCAATTTTATATTGCTAAAGAGAAGCATTGAAGCACAAATGATTGAGCTCAAATTATCCTACTTCAGACATGTTATGTGAAGATCTAGATTCCAGGAAAAGGCTCCAAGGTAGAAGGTCAAAAGAAAGAGAAGAAAAAGATGGCCAGTTGCAAGATAGATAGACCTGTTTACTTTTAGAAAATCTGAAAGAACAGATCAGGGACAGAGCTTGAGATGCTCAAGATTTATCAGGAGATGTAGCTCCAGCTATTGACGACATTGGTTGGGAATTTGTTGTTGTCATTCAGCCACTAAGATGTGTCCAACTCTTTGCAACCCCAGGGACCATAACATGCCAGGTTCCCTTGGTTGAGAATAATGATAGTTAAAAGTCTGGATTCCGGAGCATTCAAATAGAGGGATGTTTGTGTAAAATAGGTCATGTGGCTAAACTAGTTAGCTTCCAATCTATCTTAATGAAACTGTTGTTGTCTGAACCCAGTAATTAAAACAAAAATGAGAGAGGAGGGAAGCTAATGTTGGCAATCTGGTTTAGGATTCAGAAGTCTTTGAAGGTAATGAAAAATAAACAAGGAAATCTGAAAACAAGGCTGAAAGGAAGGGTGTAAAAGAAAAATCTTGTGGGGAGAAAAGCATGTTTCGGTTTCATCTATTTATTTTAGAAAAATCTCAGCTTTGGTTACTTGAAATTTACAACAAATGAATGCAAACATTTTAAAAATCAGAATTTGGGTCTTCTTTGTTTCCAATACAAACTTTTGAGAAAAAGTGGTATCAAATTATCAGCTTAGTTTATTTGTATCCATGAAAGACTATTCCTGGTAAATGCAGCTTTTCTACATTATAAGATCCTGCTTTTTCAACTCTACAAGCTATTTGCTTTGCAAATTGAGAAATGAACAACTGATAGAGTTAAAGTAATAAAAATATTCACATAAATCTGCCTGAAATTACTCCTTCAGATTGCTAAAAATACAGGGAACAGATTTGCTTATTTCTAACACATGCTTTGCAAATGAACATCGTTTTGTTGAAGACATCCCATTGTTAAGCAGTTTCCATTAACAAAAGCAGCTGCATGCATATTGATAGAATATATCAAATACATTTGCCACATTAAACCTCCTGATTAGTCAAATTTTTCACTAAAGCAAATGGAAGAGTAAACTCTGGAGAATCAGGCTTGTTAGGGCTAGGTTTTCTAATCAAGTTTTAATTCAGCTTGCACAAACATGCAAATGGTTTATACGATGTGACCAGAGATTTTCTCAGATTGCTCTTGTGTTTTAGTGCTAAAATGATATCTTGGGTTATTTGACTATTTATCTTCTGCTTTATTTTCTGCTTTAATTGGTGGGAAATCCCAGCCACTACTTAACTACAACTGATATCTGAGAACAAAGTGGAAACTGATATTGCACTGCTAATTTTCAGAGTTATGTTATAGATCTTAAGAACTTGGACATCATTTTAAAAAGGCCCATTACTTAATATCATACATGTTCATATATTTTTAGTTTTTCTCCTTATGCAGAGAAATCATAAAAAAACAGCCAGGCACCTTAAATTAAACTGATTTCTGTAGTCTCACAATTAAGAAAGATCAGCATTGCAATAGTATCAAAAGAGGAAATAGAAAAGAATAGCTGAACGTAGCATAAAACTAGGCTTTAAGAGTTTTGGGAAAATAAAATGTTTTCCCTTGGCTTTGAAAAGTGGGGAGATGATAGTTATTGAGTCCACATGGTGACATCTGCTTCTTTGAGGAAGAAAGTTGTGCTCTCAGCCTTAAAGAAGACTTTGGGGTATCCTCAATATGATACTTATGATTCCAAAGATTCTAGATGGTTTCCATCCAGTCTCCAATCATCCCTTTTTAGGAAAGATTGTGGAGAAGGTGGTTGGACTTTAGCAATGATCTTTGAAAAGATGGATTGTCTGAACCCTTTGCAATTGGTTTTCAGGCTGGATCACAGTATGAAGACAACATTGGGTGTCCTTTTTGGTGACCTGATTTGTAACTAGGATGAGGGTACTGCGTTTTCTTTGTGCTCCTTGATGTCTTTAATAATTTTAATCATGATAGCCTTCTGCACTGGCTGCAAAAATTTGGATCGTTTAGGTCTGAGGATGTTCCATTATTGATTTTGGGTGGGATTGCATTTCACAACTCAAGACTGGTCTGTAACTTGGTTATACTTGGTTATACTTGGTTATACTTGGTTATACTGCAACTGACATGTTCTGTTCAAAGAGCAGGTGGTAGCTGTGGCCAAGTGGATCTTTGCACATGTGTACCCAATGCGCCACTGGAAACTTTTCCTGAACTTGAAGGCTTTCAGGCAGTCACTCACATACTAGTCACCTCACAAATAGATTACTGTAATGTACTCTACTTGGAATGGTCCTTGAAGAGCACTTGGAGGTCCAGAATGCAACAATCTGGACAGTGTGGGGCATGCTTCATTATTTCTGTGTGATCACACTGTTCTCCGAGTTGCATTGGTTACAAATTGGCTTCTGGGAGCAATTCAAGGTGCTGGTTATCATCTATAAAATTATTCATGGCACAGAGCCTTTCTTCTTCTTCATGGGACCACTTATCTTTGGTTGTTTTTGCCTACCCAGTGTGATCAGGAAAAGTAGGTCTGCTCCATGTCCTATTGATTAAGCAGTATCATCATGTGGGAATCAGAAAGTGTGGGTGGCTTTTGAAATGATACTCATTCAGACATCCAGATGGCTCCCATTCTAATGATGTTCAGGAAGATGGGCTATTCTTCCAAGATGTGGATAGAGTGAAGGTTGAGCCCTTGCTGGAGGATATGTGTGTGATTATACTGTATGTTGTTTTGAGAGCCTCTCATGATTTCCTTTCGTGTTTTGTATTTTTTTACTTTTAATTTGTAATCCATTCACAGTCAGGAGTTATATAGCCTATAAATGGTATAAATACTACTAGTAGTATATACAATTATACAACCAAATCCAAGTGCTTTGCTTCAGATGCATTTGTGGGAAGAAATTCAACTGTGTTTGGAGTAGCTTTGAGTGTTAACTAATTTTGAGAATTATGGAGAATGTAGGGGAAGAATACATATGTTTGTTGATAGATACTTTTTGCTTCTGCTACAGGAGAGAACTGTGAAGTGAATTCCCGGTTGGGCCGCTGTACCCCTGGTGTCTGCAAGAATGGTGGCACCTGTGTCAACCTGCTGGTGGGTGGTTTCAAGTGTGACTGCCTGTCTGGAGACTATGAGAAGCCGTACTGTCAGATGAGTACCCGTAGTTTCCCGGGCCACTCCTTCCTTACTTTTAAGGGGCTGCGCCAACGCTTCCATTTCACCATTGTTCTCACGTAAGTACTTGGCTTAGGAAAAAAGAAGAAGTCCAATGTAGTTTTGTACCTATATGTACATTATTTTGTCCTTCCTTAAATTTTCCTGACATTCTGTACTATGACCCAGCAGGCTAATCCTTGTAACTATCCCTGTTTTAAAAAAATCTATTTTATTTTCAAAGTTTTTTAAAAAATAGATAGAATATGAAGTCCTGAGAAAAATATTTTAAACATAAAATATAATTAGACAAGTATAAATGTTTAACCAATTTTCCAAATATAATGTTACAGAATTAAATATTTGCAAATAGTTAAAAAAATGGGGGAGGGGAATCCCTCTTTTTTTTTTTGAAGCCAAATTAGATGGACTATAGTTCCTTGGATAATAGATTCACCTTCATTGAAAATAAGTTCTATAAGTTGAAAAAAATGTCCCATTGTGTCTAGAGGACCATTTTCTACCATTTTAAAATTGTAGTCTTAAAAGTTCTTATACAAAATTCTGCTTCATCTTCAGCATGTTTTTTTATGCTGTTATTTTGGACAATTTAAAAAGACTTGAATATGGACATTATGTGTCAGGGGAATCACCTTGATCCAGACGCTTACCCAAAGCAGGAAGTTGTATAGGTAAACACCGATGGTGTTGCACTTGTATATCTCTCCACTCCCAATAATTGCTGGCTGCATTAGATTTGCGTGTGTTTATGTATATGGAGGCTGAGAGCTACCACACGCATCTGGACTATATAGGCTGCTTAATTTCTTGGATCTGTTTTGTTCAATTTTCAGATGCATTGTGCTACCTGTTGAATAATAAGTGTCTTCCTCTTTCTGTTTAGCAATACTGTTAAGCTAGAAAGGAACTTTTACTAAAAGCAAGCATAGCAAAATTTTTGGGATTTGTGTATCTCACTTCTCATTCTGTCCTTTCAGTGTAAATGGGCATATAAGTACTGTGTTTGTTGTAAGGATGTTATTTGCTTGAGCTCCTCTGATGAGATTATAGAGCCTTCCACATTTCCTGGCCTTACTACCCATAATTATTCCAATTCCATCCTTTTTGTTAGCCTAGCACAAAGAAGCCAGCCAGCCAAAGCCTTTTTGTCCCCAGCAAAGGGTCAGTGATCTCCAGTTCTGCTCTGTATACTTGTCACACACTTTTTCCTCTGGGACTGTGTATGTGTGTGTTTGTGTGTGTGGAGGGGGATGGGGGGAAACTGCCAAGTGCTGACAGTCTAAAATGAATCTACCCAGGAGAGCAATTCTGTGTGTGGTCACAAGGGAAAGGAAGATCTGCTTTGCTCAGAAGGGAACCATATTTTTCAGCCTTGACAGGCTTATCATTCACTGTTTCTATGGGGGAGGGGGTTTATCATTTCCCACCTGCTGCAGAAGCGGTTGCTCCAGTAACTCAGCCCCTTGGTAATCTGGGAGCACACTTTGCTTTGGGGAAGAGACAAAAACAAAAATGGTTGATGCCTGATTTGAGAAACATTCTGTTTTTGAATACAGGTAGTCCTCAACTTTCAAGAGTTCATTTATTTGACCATTCAAAAGTTACAGTGGCACTGAAGAAAAAGTGATTTATGGCAATTTTTCACACTTACAACTGTTGAAGCATTCCCATGATCAGGTGATCAAAATCCAAGACACTTGGCAACTGACTCATATTTATGATGATTGCAGTGTCCCGGGGTCATGTGATCTGCCTTTTGCGATATTCTGTGAAGCAAAGTCAATGGGGAAGCCAGATTCACTTAACAACTGTGTTACTAACTTAACAGCTAACTAAAAAACTGCAGCGATTCACTTAATAACTGTGGCAGGAAAATTCATAAATGGGGCAAAACTCACTTCACAAATGTCTGACTTAATCACATAAAGTTGGGGATTAATTATAGTCCTAAATCAAGGACTACCTGTATAGTAATTCATCTAAGGAAATGTGTGTGTGTGTGTGTGTGTGTGTGTGTAAAACTATAGTTTTAATATTCGATAATCAGTTATGAAGCACATATTTTCTCTCTATTTTTTTTAACCAATTTTATATGTGTTACAAATGTCTCTCTATTCTTCACATATTAGATCAGAACAAAATACCCTTTAGCAACCTTAATAAAATAGAATATGCTGAGCAGATGTAATTTCACATATTCCACTGAGATAGTTAAGAGCCCAAGTATATCTGCAGGTATAAGAACAGAATGTGCTTCTGCTCCTTTGATTCTAAGCGTGTATGTTGGGAAATAAGTATGCTTTAAAAAAAATAATAGACAAGGGTGTATTTGAAATAGTAATAACAAAAGAAAAAATTGCAGCCATGCTGGCAGTTGGTTGCATCCAATTGTAATATTTAAAAAATATTCAAATATACACACACACCACACACACACACACACACACACACACATATACATACATACGTACATACATACATACATACACTAAGAAAAGTTGCTTTAGCTAACCAGCAGCAGCGCTAGATTCCCTATGCCAGTCCAACTGTTAACTGACCCCCTTCAATTTTCTGAATGGCAATTTAGGACTGGGGTTCTAAATTTCATTAGTAGATCCACTTTTCCTACTTCACAAAGGTTGATTTGTGGAGGGCAAATGAAACGTTCAGAACCAGTAGTAAAGAGCTCATATTCTAAATGATGTGTAGTTTTATACAGAGAACATGTATGAGTACCGATTATGAAATGTATAAAATAGGTATAGTAGAATTCAAAGGTGGTAGAAATTAATGAATATATATAATTTGTATAGTTTATGCTTTCTGACTTTTCTGAGCTGGTGCTTATTTTAAAAATTCATTATTACTTAATAAGCATGTTTGTAAAATCATTGGGAGTCTTTAAAGGCTTTCATGCTCAAAAATAATGTATTTCTACAAGTGTGAAACTGTATCATTGACAGCTAAAATGCAAAACATATTAACTGACCTATTTGAATGCTGTTTTAGTCTCTTTGTTTTGATAAATCAGACTACATACAGTTGCCAATAAATACAGAAGATGAGATTGAGAATAGTAGATCATCAAGAAAAGACTAGCTTCCATTGTAACAAGTTAACAGACCAGTTTTTATTTTTATAGGTTTTATATTTATTTTTTATTATTAAGCAAATTTATATAGCTGCCCACCTTATATATAAGTAATTCTGGTTGTTATATTGAGAAGCATTCGTGTCTTATTTTCTCATTTGCAATTAGAAATGGTACATTTTAGGAATGAGTAGCAGTAAATAATAATGCTCTGATGAAAGCCTATATGAAATAATTAACTAATTTTATAAATTATCCATTTTTCGTGGTTTTCTTCAGTTCAATTACAGTTGATAGGTGGGCATATTGATGTCCCTGAAATGTAAGAGAAGATAAGAAGATGTTATAATTCTTGTTATGTTTATCAGAAGAGAGAAGATGGAATAATTTGACACCTCTAAGCTTATTTGTTGGGATCTTTTAATTCCTTTTTCTACCAGATTTCATTTTTGATCTAGTGCCAGGAAGCTATAAGGATTGAAACTAGTAAATGGATGTTCTTTGTTCTACCAGAAGATTGTAGAAAGCAAAGAAAAAAGGCACCCAGTGCTCTGACTATATAGACAATTACTATGTCAGTGTGCACTGTTAATTAAAGAAAATATCATCTTAAGTATAGTGGTTTTCGGATGATTTATTTCCATTTCTTTAGACTAAATCATAGTAAGCAACCTTTGAGTGCCTGATGATCAGCTGAATTTGTTCTGGAGATCCAGAAGTTATGTTAAAGCGGACATGACCACGAACATGGAAGGGAGAATAGAATAGAATAACAGAGTTGGAAGGGACCTTGGAGGTCTTCTAGTCCAACCCGCTGCTTAGGCAGGAAACCCTACACCACTTCAGACAAAATAATGGTTATCCAACATCTTCTTAAAAACTTCCAGTGTTGGGGCATTCACAACTTCTGGAGGCAAGCTGTTCCACTGATTAATTGTTCTAACTGTCAAGAAATTTCTCCTCAATTCTAAGTTGCTTCTCTCCTTGATTAGTTTCCACCCATTGCTCCTTGTTGTACCCTCAGGTGCCTTGGAGAATAGTTTGACTCCCTCTTCTTAGTGGCAACCCCTGAGATATTGGAACACTGCTATCATGCCTCCCCTAGTCCTTCTCTTCATTAAACTAGACATACCCAGTTCCTGCAACCGTTCTTCATATGTTTTAGCTTCCTTTTGCAAAAAAAATTAAAATCTTCCACCACCATTAACGCAGTAAAGAGGACACGTAAAAATGGCATTCTAGCAATCTTAAAGTTGAAATAGATCGGTAGGGGTTGATTTCACAATTACATGAAAGTTAATGTGTATCTGAAGTTTTCATTTAAATGTACATTTTGGAATTTTGTGTTTGCTGATGTCAAAAAAACTGACCACTACATTAAGAAAATGGAAATGTCACTTTACAGTAGATCACCTAGAAGCAGTAGTGTAATCAATTGAAAATCCCACTGTATTTCCCAAAGTAACCCGTCAGTGCATTTTCCCCTCCTAGCCATGTGTGAGTTAAGTTGTGATGTATGAAGCAGAATCCAGTTTCTAGATTGTTTGGCCACAGCTTTAATCAGTAGCTAGCAAAACCTTTTAATTTTACTGAGCATTTCCCCCCCCCCCCAAGCCATGAAGTTGTGATTTTCTTCCAAAACAACCTTATCATTTTCTGTATATGATTGGATCGATTTGCCCACTAATCCCCATTTCTGTTATCCTGGTTTCTTGCCGGACTTAACAGAAATCTTACTCTTCTTGTCCCATTTCTTGAAATTGACCTGGACGCTGTGCTTTCTTGACTCTTCTTCAAGACTATAAATGTATTCAGGGCTATCTCGGAATTTCCTTTATGGACTATGACTGAGACTTTATACTTCTTATCGTTATGTGCCCAGTAACAACATGTGACTCTATAGTCTTGATTTACGGGGGTATAAACCAAGTTCTCATAATATTCCCAGCACATCATTAACCATTTGAAATGACCATTCTGGCTTCTTGCTGATCACTTCCAGAACTTGAACACTTTCCCAAAGACATTGGAGAAATTGTTATTTCATGCTTATTGTCCCTTTCCTTACTCTTACTCATTATTTATATACAGTCACAATGCAACCAATATGAATGAATGAAAGATTGAGGGGGGAAGTGGGGGGGAGAGTTCCAGGATGAGTCACAGCTGAGCTAGCCTTTTGGGCACTCCTTTGTATGAAGGAACTACATGTCTAATCACAAAGGAATGCCTTTGTTAGATCTAGCCTGCTTCCTTAGGTAAATCATGGCACTTAGCAACCAACAGTTCCTCTGAGGCAGGATATCTCCAAAATTTCTACGTAATAAATGTTGCGAATTCCACGTGCGATCTGTCTGTATTTTTGAGCATTGTACATATGATATCTCTCTTTCTGTGAATGTTTTCAGAGGAAAATTGTTTGTAAGCACATGAGGTCCAGTGATAACAGTGCAGGATACAATTTATGTTGCTTTGAGTGGGAATTCATTCTGGGGGGATTTTCTAAACTCTTTTTTCATCTTTTCATTTCATAAGGCATTAGAACAGTATTTCTCAACCTTGGCGACTTTAAGTCCTGTGGACTTCAACTCCCAGAATTCCGCAGGGATTCTGGGAGTTGAAGTCCACAGGACTTAAAGTCGCCAGGGTTGAGAAACACTGCATTAGAAGCTATTGCAAGATTTCTGATCAGGCAAAAATTCTAATTCACATCCTCCAAATCACTTTAGTTCTTATGAGCATCTTGCAATGGGCATTGATGATGCTTTGAATGAGGCCTGGCTTTGTCTTCTTTTGGGGCAGGTTTGCCACTAAGGAACGGGATGGTCTTCTCCTCTACAATGGGCGTTTCAATGAACGGCATGATTTTGTTGCATTGGAAATAGTTCAAGAGCAAGTTCAGCTTACTTTCTCAGCAGGTATGATTGTTCTCCAATATATCTGTCAATTTATTTTAGTTTACAAACATTCCACCTTTCTGTGCCTTATTTTTCTAAATCTTTAGCAATATTCTTTAACTCCTTCACTCGGCACGCTATTATAACTCTGGTGCCCTCAAAGCTTCTCAGAAGCTTTATAAAACGATGTGGAAATTATTCTTTTTCTCCTCAGACTTTATTTTAAAAACTTGAGTAGTGTTTTGTCTTTCCTGCAGGAGAAACCACAAGCACTGTTGCCCCATTCATCCCAGGAGGTGTGAGCGATGGACAGTGGCACACTGTCCACTTGCACTATTATAACAAGGTAAGATTATTTTGTGTTGAATTGCAACAGGCCTAGTGCTGAAGTACCCAGCATAACAATTGTGTTGGGATCTCTGAAGTATTCTGCTCATTTTATGCCAATTTTCCCACTGGTATCTCCCCTTGGGTACCATGTCATTATCTGTAGTTGGAGATGTTGCTTATAGGGGAAGAGGAAGATATTTTCCCTGGCCGTGAAACATTCAAGAACTAAAAGATTGATTGTGGAGTCATTGTCAGGATGGCTGCCTCGAAATGTTCATCTCCTATAAACTGCCGAATATCTCCAGCTATTAGTATTCATAGTGCTCTAAACACAGAAGCATAGCAGGGAGGGGGGAGTGGAGAGAAAACTGTGGTGGTCCCAGCATGATTGAGTCCAAGAAGCCAATCGCTAAATAGGAGGATGCTGACAGGGGGCAAGAAGAGGTGAACAGCTGGTGCAATTGTCACAGTCTGCTTCAGTTAATAAGCAAGGGCCTGAAAAGGCTGCCCAGGGGAATGGAATGGCATTGATGGCTGGTGGGTGGGAGCGGAATGGAGGGAATGATACTAATCTGGGGGAGGGGAAAGAGCAATAGGGAAGTCCTCCCATGCTCAATCAGAATCAGTCAGAAGGGATCTTGGAGGTTTTCTAGTCCAACCGCCTTCTCATGCAGGAGACCCTATACCATTTCAGATAGGTGGCTGTTCAGGCTTTTCTTAAAAACCTCCAGTGATGAAGCACTTACAGCATCTGGAGGCAAGTAGTTAATTGTCCTCACTGTTAGGAAGTCTCTTTTTAATTCCAGGTTGCTTCTCTTCTTGATTAGTTTCCATCCATTGTTTCTTGTCTTGCCTTCTGGTGCTTTGGAAAATAAATTGACCCCCTCTTCTTTGTGGCTATCTGCTATCATGTCACCCCTTGTCCTTCTTTTCTCTAGATTAGCCATACTCAAATCCTGTAACCCTTCTTCATATGTTTTTGTCTCCAGGCTTTTAAACATCTTAGTTGCTCCTCTTTGCACTGTTTTTTTCCTCAAGTCTCAACACCTTTTTTCTAATCTGGTATCCAAAACTGGATGCAGTATTCCTCTTGTGGCCTTACTAAGGCTTTAGAATGTGATACTAATACGTCACATGATTTTGATTCTATGCTCCTTTTTATACATCCAAGGATTGTATTAGCTTTTTTGGCTGCTGCCGCACACTGCTGGCTGACGTTTAAGTCATTGTCCACGAGGATGCCAGGGTCCCTCTCACAGTTACTGCTTTTGAGACAGATTCCTGTGTGCTGTCTCCTTGTTGACCTAGGGAATTACCATTACTTCTGAACATTTTTCATTCACTTTTCCAAAAGTCATCATGCTGATCCAATTCATCCAATTCATCCTCTGTTTGAATGTGATGAGTTGAATCTAAAGATCAGTTGAAGGCAAGGGTGGGTTCCAGCAGAGCCTACTACCGGTTTGTTCAGGGATGCGCCCCATGCGCGGGCTGTGCGCGCATGCACAGTACAACTAAAATTGTACTATGGCACCAATGAGGGAACTGGTTCAAGGGCATGGCAGGCCTGGGGCGCTGCGAGTTCCAATGACCCAGGCCACCAAGCTTCTACCGGTTTGGCTGAACCGGGCCGAACCACCACTGGTTGAAGGATACAAAACCTTGATCACAGACTAGCCCACTTGATGTGAGAAAGCATCCAGAAAGATCAGTTTAGAGAAGCCCTGAGCAAATCATTTGAAGTAGAACTACATATTGAAGCCACAGAGGAGCCATAGATACTCAAAGGCTCAGCATGGTTGCTTCAAGGCTCTCCCAAAGCATTATAAATATGTATTTACATGTCCAGAAGGCATTTCTCCTGAGTTCACTAGTGGAGGGAAGCAGCAGGCATTTCACCTCACCAGTTATCCTGGCAACTAAAAGAACTTCAGGAAAAGCTTCAGAAAATTTTCCTTGTGTATTTGTGTGCTTGTTGCAATCATTTATGTACTCCCAGGTCATATTATGCAGTAACAAATTCCATTAAAATATCATAAAATCCATAAACCTTTCACAATAAAACCAAATCGAAATAAGATTGTACTAAACTTGGCAGCCCATTTCATCATTAAAGTTCAGAATTAAAAGTCCCTTATGAGAATAGTCTTCATTTTCTTTCATTGTCTAAGCTGAGAGCTAGAGGGCAGGAAGACCTCTAAGGGCAAGTTGTTCCATTGTGTTGGGAGAAAAACAGATAAGGTTGTTCTCCAGGTCCATGTCTCTTGCACCTCTCGAGAAATTGGGATTTTAAACATCCAGTTCCTAGATGACCATGCCAGGCAGACAAAATCCATTTAGAGAAGACAATGTTAAGCAGTTGCATCTTGAAAAAACAGATCCGGAGCATCCTATTGAATAATTTTCATGACACTGACTTACTTCATAAACATTCAGTTTTAATAATTATCCTTTTGTGGTGTTTGGACAGAGGAACTAATTCAGCTATACATGTTATGTTGAACTGAGACTTCTAAATGGTTTCACGATGATGCTATAACAGGATCCCAGTCTTTCAGCTCTTGAATGAAAATTCTGATGCCAAGATCCAGCCTAGTTAACAGACATTCCTCTCACTTGCTTAATGTTTATGCTGTTGCATCAATACAATACCTGTTAGGCAAGAACTTCTGCTACATGCACACAAAAGGGATCAGACAATCACTACAACTGTTTGACACTTATTTAGCATTGACATCGTGCTAGATAAATGCCATGTTAGACAGCACAATTACCCATCTGTTGTTGTGAGCTGCATTTGTTCTTGTTTGACCGGTGCTTATTTCATTCCCCCATCAAATGCACAAGTCAAAGGTGTCAGTAAAACAGAACCACATTTTGGTGATGAATTAGAGTTTTGGAGGAGTCTGGCTTAGCTCCATGCTCTAATTTGAGAGCACTTTATTTGGGATGGGTGTTGTTCCTCCCATTCCTGGGAATATTTCTGAATATTGTACAGGTGTCAGCACTGATGAGCTGGATTGCCTGTGGGTACTTCACCCAAGCACAGTGCTTGTGTGCCAGCAGACAGCTCTTGTTAACTAATGTGGGAGGGTACTTGCTACCAGAGCCTCCAGCTAGTGCCATAGAGCAGTTTCCTTCTGCTCCCTCCCAAATTTCCCCCTTTGTTTTAAAAGGATAGCTGCTTGACAAGTTACAATGTAAAAAAAAATCAAACTGAAATCAAAGGTGCTTTCATAGGCTATTGTAGGCAGCTTGTCAATGGCAAGTTCTTAATAGCATGTTGTGTTGACCTAGAGTTCCATAACTTGGGCTGAAGCATTACAATATTTCATTACAACCAAGTCAAACCTGCAAAAGCTCCTGATTTTTTTGTAGAAATAATTATGTGACTCTCCCTCCTACCTTACATTGTAAGAATTAAAGGTGCCCTGTGAGTTATGACTCTAAGGATTGTCAGAATATTACTTTCTTTAAAAAATGCTTTCATGCAAATTACATGGGAGATAAACTAAACAAACTAAAAATGTGTTATCCTTAGCTTATCCTGTCTGGAAACCAAGATGTGTTAGCTTTTACTGTTGATTCTCTGCAGTTACTGTATTGGATTGTTGTTTTTCCTGCACACTATGGCAGGCAGAGGTGAAATTGGGGGGAGGTTTGACAAAAGTGCTCTTTTAAGTATTTGTAAGAGTGGCTAAGCTTCCAGTATTTGGAGTGCTTGATAAAGTGAGCAAGCTCTGGGTTTCAGTGCCATGCCTGTCAAGTGGTAATAAGGTAGCCCCGCTGTTTCTTTCAGAGCAATAAATACAGCTTATTAAAAACCACTGTGAATCTCTGTCCAAACATGTGAGAGCTTGCTTAATTGTTGAAGGTGCCTTGTCTCTTTATCCTAGCTTTGGAAGCTAGGACACACAGGAAGTGAGGCTCCTTTCCCCCTTTCTTTGTAATGAGCAGAAGGATTTCCAATTAGGGCAAAATGTGCTATTTCTACCAACTATTCCTATAATGAAAGCGTGTGATAGCTCATTGCATACTTGTGGCTAACCTTGGCTTTCTTGGCTCTCGATTTCTCCGTTGTCGTGTGTCAGTAAAGTAGATCCAAAAAATAGTTCTCAGTATATTTGTTCCATGTCCTCCTAGGCATTGCCTTATTGGTACATTTAACTTAGTTTAATAACAGATTGGGTGTGTTTCTGTGCAGACATACGCACTTGTGGGGTGGAGGTAGGGGTGGGGGGAATAGCAGAGCTGTAGAAAAATTCACTCCTGTTTTCCTCTAGCCAGTGAAAAGAATTGAAGGATTCAGGGAGTGTGCTAGAAAACAAAATCACCCCCTTCTAAACGTAAAATGCAGAATATCCATGAACTGACAGAGAGATAAGTCATATTAAGACTACATTATGGAAGGATAAAAAAACAGTAAAGCATGATCTTACTAGTATACCATAAAAGGAGATTAAGGGTTCTGTCTTATAGCTCGGGTAAAGGGCTCCCCTCCCATTTACAAATCTGCAGAAAACATATTGCTGTCCATATGCCAGTCCTTGTTGTTTTTCTTGTGGCTTGTATACAGTATATCCAAGTATTGGTTTTGGTTTTAGTTATCTCTGGAATATGTTTAGAAAAATTGGAATCCTTGAATACATAATAGTTGCATTCATGTAAAATCTATACACAGGTCAGAAAACCACAGTATGGACAGAAGATGGCAAAACACACTAGCTCTAGTTAGCAAAGGACTGAGACAAGGCTGTATCCTCTCCAGGGGTGGGTTCCAGCTTCTGTTACTGCCGATTTGCTCAGGGACATGCTTCGGGTGTGTGTGCGCTTGATGCATGCTATGTGCGCATGCACAGTAGTAAAAAAATGCTTCTGCGCATGCGCAGAAGCAAAAAACAAGATGGCGGCACCTATGGTGCCACTGATAGAGCCGGTTCAGGGTGTGGCCCCCTGAATTACTACCTACTCACTGAACCGGGCTGAACCAGTAAGAACCCACCTCTGATACTGTCC